CCCCCTGCCGCCCCCAAAAGGTGCGCCTGAAGGAGCACGGCCTCGACCTCATCGAGGTGGCCGACAACGGCCGCGGCGTTCACGCCTGCGACCACGCAGCGCTCGCCCTCAAGTACCACACCTCCAAGATCGCGCGGTTCGGGGACCTCGAGGTGCAGGGAGGGGCGACCACAAAAGCGACCCCAGGCCAGGGGCAGCGGGGGCCTGCCGCCGGGGCTAGTGGGGGACCGGGTCGGGCCGGGGCGGTCGGGCGCAGTGCTGCTGCGGGCGGCGAGGCCGTCTGTCTGTGCAGCGCGTCCGCGGGTCAAGGCCGTTTTTCGCCGTTACCCGCAGCACCCGACCGCCCTCTCGGCGGGACCCCTGTCGGCCGACCTTCAGCCGCACGTAGCAAGCAAGTTGTGCCTGCCCCAAACGCGCGCCCGCGCGCGCCAAACGCCCACCACCCCTCCCGCCAGGCGCTCGCGACCTTTGGCTTCCGCGGGGAGGCGCTCAGCTCCCTGGCGGCCCTGTCCAGCCTCGCCGTCGTCACCCGCACCGCCGCCGACGCCGCCGCGACGCGGCTGGAGTTCGACCGAGAGGGGCGCGTTGCGGCGCGCGCCGCGTGCGCGAGGGGCGTCGGGACGACCGTTGCGATACAGGAGCTGTTCGCGCCGCTGCCCGTGCGGCGCCAGGTGGGCGGCCCGCGCCGCCCCGCGCTCGGCTGGTTGTGGCCTCGTTGGCGCTGCATTGCAGCTGGTCGGGGCCATGAAGCGAGGTGTGACGTGCGGCTCGCCGCCATCTGCGGTTTGGTGTGCCCCCTGAATATTGCTGAAGCACCTATGAGTTGGCTGGTGACAACGTCTGGGAAGAACGATGCCAAGACATGCTCTACTCAGCGCCCCCGCCGACCTGGCCCGTCCCAAACCCTCCGGCCGCGCAGGAGCTGACACGCAACGTGCGCCGCGAGGTGGCCAAGCTGCGCCTGCTGCTGCAGCAGTACGCGGTGATGTGCCCTGCGGCGCAGCTCTTCGCCTCAGACCAGGCCGGCCGCACCGCCAGGCGCGTCACGGCTTGGATGCAGCCGCAGCCGGCGCGCGTGCAGCGGTTGCTGCCTGGTGTTGCTCGCACGCGCCGCGCCGTGTCGGTGGATCTCGCTGCAGTGGGGTTGCAGTGGGGGTTCCATCTAGATTCCCCTAACTTTTCAATCGTGCATCTCCTGGCAACACTTGTCCTGCTGCAGCTGCGCACGTGCGCGTGCGCACACATGCATGCACACACACACACACACACACACACACACACACACACACACGCACGCAAGCACGCACACACATACACACATGCACCGCAGAAATAGACTGACACACACGCACACATACACACATGACTGCACACCGCTTCCAGGACAACGCTGGTGTCAACCGGCAACGCCGGCCCCTCCCTATCAGACCGCGTGTCCGCTGTGCTGGGGCCCAAAGTGGCCGCCCTGCTGGTGCCCCTGGAGGTGGAGGTGCCGGGCCACAGGGTCAAGATCACGGGGTGAGCCAAGGTCAACAGTAGGCTCAAGATCACATGGTCGGTAGGGGGCAGCAGCAACCCGCCCCATGCGGGTCAACACTACCGCGGAGCTTTCCGTCGCCCCACCTTCACGCGTTCTTCTCACCTCTCGTTTTATCATCCTTGAAACCCCATGTTTTTCCCCTTGCTCGCTGCTGTCCAGCTGACCCTCAGGCGCTGCACGCAGCCGCATCAGCCATTGCTGCTAGGCCCCCCTTGAATGGCCCCGCCGGACGCACGCGGCCGGCCCCCTCCCACCCCCTCCCTGCCGCTCCCACGACCCTTCAATTGCAGCATGGTGTCCCGCGCGGGCGCCGGCGTCAAGGGCGAGAAGCTGCGCCAGTTCATGGCCATCAACGGGCGGCCCGTGGAGCTGCCGCGGGCGGTCAGGGCCCTCAACGACACCTACAAGTGAGGGTTTAGGCCTGGGGGCGGCCCTGATGCCGCGATTGACGCGGCGCGCGCCTGCAGCCGTTTCGGCTTGCCTGCCGGCGGCTGGGAGGGGCGATCCCTCGAGCCCCCGTGCGGCAGGCGCTTCGGGTGCCCGCCGTGGCCGGCATCCCCTGGTTCCGACGTCCTGCGCACCGCGCCCCTATGCGCCACCTCGACCGCTGGTGCACGTGGGCCCTGACCCCCGTGGGGCTCCGGTCCTTCATCCCCCGCTCGGCCTCCGCTGCCGCTCCCCCTGCGTGTCTCAAGCGCACCCATACGCTGTCCCGAGGACGAGCGGCCGTCCCGCCACCCTCCCCCGTTTCGGATTCGTTCAAACCCCAAAGGTCCCTCTACAGCTCCCTGGTGGCCAACAAGCCCCTGGCCTTCCTGCACTTCTCCCTGCCGGCCGGGTCGTGCGACGTGAACGTGACCCCCGACAAGCGCACCGTGTTTGTGCAGCAGGAGGGCGCCATTCTCGCCGCGCTCACAGAGGTGCGTGGGCGCGTCCCTCGGACCGGGCGGCCGCGGCTCGCCTCCGCGTTGCTGTGTATCACGGGGGGCGGGGGATGCAGGAGGTGCCCGTGGCTCGCCTTGCCGCGGGCTCCTGGGGGTCGCACGCCTCGTCCCTGGGAAGCGGCGATCAGGCCGCGGAGAATCGCGGTGCTTGGCGTGTCACCGAGCAGGCGGCGCGACATGCCCGCGGCGCGCCCGCAGGCTCTACAGGTGCTGTGGGAGCCCTCGAGGTTCACCTACCAGGTGTCGGGCAGCCAGCCGGCGGCCGACGGCCTCGGGGCGCCCCCGCTTGCGCGGCCGGCGCCGCGGTCGGCCGCCGGCGGGGCCGTGCTGGGGACGGCGGCGGCGGGCGCCGCCGAGCGGCGCACGGCGGGCGCCGCGC